TGGTGTTGATTCCAAGACAAATGCTCGTCTTGTCGTTGCAAACTTTAGTAGTAAAATGCAGGCTGCAGTAGCTGCACTTGCTGTCATGTTACAAGAGTGGAAAGTGTTAAAATTAAGAAGTGAATATAAGGTGAAGCTTCTGGACGGAGATGTGTCTTTCCTAAGCAAGACGGTAAAAAACAATCAAGACTTTTAAGAATACATAAGACCTTCTTAGGAAAGTCTCTATCCTTCTTGCGGAACAATCACATCAATATACACGAAAATCTAAATTGGAACTGGAACTTGATAACGAACCTGGACTAACCCAGATAGAGTCGTGGACAACATGAATTCGTGACATACCGAGATTGATTCATTTCATCGATGGAAATGAGTCAAAGTTGTGCACCCAATTGGTTACACATCTATGGTGTCATTGAGGTGGTAGAATTGATTGCACGTCATATATAGATTACGTCTAAGCTTAGTTGCAATGGAGAGACATGGGGAAGAAGGAGCTTCTAAAGTTGTTCGTCTGTACTCAAAGGTGGACAACAATTTTAACTTTGACGGGTTGAAACGTGTTAATAAGCATCGATCATCTGCATCATATATCATTAGTTTACACTTTTGCCCCTATCGTATGCATGTTCGTCTTTAATATATGTCCCTCATAATAATTACTTCTTCATGGTGAATTTATATTTTAGTATCGTAATGTTTCATCAATTATTTGTAGTGAATTCTTTTCCAACTTACGTTAATTCATTATCGAATCTACCAAGTCAATCGGAATACCCAAATTAGTTTCACCTTTATCAACAATTTACTATTTATCTTTTTTTTTTCAACAACCCTAATTTATCAACGGGTGCTTTCACTTTACACTACCTTCTAAATACATCTTTCATAATTATATTAGGGATTTGACCGCATTTCGCGCAGTTATAAAATATATATATGTAAATTTATTTTAAAAAATAATTATGGTACAAGAAATAAAAAATCGATTATAGAAATAAGAAAAATGATAAAATTACAATACAAATATTTTTGTAGAAATTAGAGCTTAAGGGGTCGTTTGGTAGAGTGTATTAGGAAAAATAACGCATGCATTAGCATTGTGTATTACTAATACCTTGTTTGGTACTCTTTTCCAACCTATGTATACACTCTATTGTGTATTAAGGTGTGTATTGTTAATACCATGGATTTCTAGGTATTAGCAATGCAATGGTTTTAATGCATGCATTAGATTAACTAATGACAAAACTACCCTCTAAGCCTAATAATAATAATAATAATTATTATTATAATAATAATAATAATAATAATAATAAACATAATAATAATAATAATTATTATTATTATAATAATATTAATTATAATAATTATAATTATAATAATAATAATTATAATAATATTAATTATAATAATAATAATGTGGGGGTATTTTTGTAAACAAATATTTTTTAATAGTCTTTATACAAGGCTTGCTATTTCCAATACATCAAACCAAACAATGTATAAGAAATAATGCAAGCATTACTAATGCATGCATTACTAATACATCATATTCAACATTATTCTTATACACTCTACCAAACGACCCCTAAGTGAATTACATTTTTATTATCAAGTATTTTTCAAAATTAAAAGACTAATTTATTAAGAAAAAAATCATATGTTATGATGTTAATACATAAAATTCGGATAAACATATTTCAGGACTTGATTTTTTTTCTTATTTTCGTCAAATAATAAATTTACTATCCAATGAATCTTCCTTTAGTTCGAAAAAATAAATGATGAAACTAAAAGTACGAGGAAATAGAGATAAATATTTCTATTTCATTTTTTCTTTGATATTCAATTCGTTCTTTGTCCTTGTTTTTTCTCTTATTCATCATCGTCTAAATAATTATTTTTCTCTATTTTTCCTTATCATCTAAATAATCCTCTATTGCTAATTTTTTGTATATATCTTATATTATTCTGGTAATTCTTTAGAAGTAGAAGAAACGAACAAATTTAAATGGTTCTTCACCATAAGAAATACCTAAAAATTACGTATTCAATACTTAATATGCACTTGTTTTGAGCCATGAGTAATAAAATTTGAACGCTTGTTGGCGTATTGGTTGTGTTCTGACAAAGTTAAAAATAACTAATTTGAGTCTAAATGAAAATGTAATTTACTACAATTAAATTTTTTATAGGAATCTAAATTAACAAATATAGAGAGAGAGAACATATGAAAAAGTAAGTAAAAAGCGAAAAATAACAACACAATTTTGTCAAGTCCTTAATCACAAAAACAAAGATGATGAAAAATCAGATAATCAATGCAATTATTTTTGAGCTTTTATCAGGCATCCCTTATATACATATCCAAGAGCCTTTGCATGGAGTCAAACTAAAGTATAAATTTGATACTACAACAATAATATAGGATATCAATATTTCAAATATGGAATAAAAATAATAATCTAGAGTAGGAATCTAATAAAACAAAAAAATATGAATATATAGACAAAATTGAAGAAATTAATATCATAAGGTATCTTAAATTTTGAAATTAGATAGTTGGGGGTTATGAATATGAAAATTTACAGAAAAAGAGTTAATAATATTAATTAAAGTAAAAGTTCAATTAGGTATAAGTTATGGAGATACAAATTTTAAAATAAATAAAAAAAGGAGAAAATAAAATAATGAAGACCAAAAAAACTCATGAACTATTCAACATTGTTGGGTGTTTAAGTTTTATTAGGAAGACAAAAAGGGTCTGATGGACCCTTATACTTGACTCGAATTGTAAATTGGACCCTTCTACTCCACAAAGTTTCAACTGGACACTTTAAATCAAACAAAATAGAAATTTTAAGCCCCTTTGACCATTGACCGGTCTTAGGTGGCATTAATTTAGCTAAGTTGGAAAAATGTGTGTTACACACGCGAAATAAGAGCGTGAATTGATTTAAAAAGTTACTAAAATTAAATAAAAAGTAAAAAAGAATAACCTACCTTAAAAAAAGGCAAAAAAAGAAAAAGAAAAAAAAAAACCCTTTCTTCTTCAAACCCACCTCACGTTTCAAATGAAAACTACAGATTAATAAAAAATTCAACAACAAAAATAATTGGAAAAGAAAGAAAAAAAACTTCTCCAAATTGAAAGCTTAGATCAAAATTGAAGAAGAATTTTTGTTGCTACTAATTGTTTCTTTTTATCTCTTTAGAAGCAAAACTTTTTTAAAAAAAAAGTCAAAATTTTATCTCTCTTTTAAATTGTAGATACAACTTTGAAATTTTCATATTTCTTGATCTTTCTTCTTTCAAGCTTTGGATTTTTTTTTTCAATTTCAAGTTTTTTGGTGTCAAGTTTAGTATTAGGAGTAGTAAGGTTTGAGTGTTTTCTTCTATTGATGTTAATATCAGTTTGATGAAATTGTAATCTCAAATGAGGCTGTGAATGGAGACAGATGTAATTTTAAATTGTAATATCATGTGCGATGAAGACGGAGACAAATGAGGGAGAGAGTATTTGTGGTCTCGCCGGCAAGAGGAGGTGGCAGCGACAACTTTCTCCGGCGATTGGGCCATTTCTTGGTGAAAATGGCAGCTGATGTAGGGAGACCCAAAATTTTAATTTAAAAGAATAATTTGTTTTTTTTGTACAATTTGCATCAAAACAATACTTTAATGAATCTTTAAAATATTGGAAACATTCAAACTTTAATTTATACTAATATGATCATCTCTCTTGATGAATCTTTCAACATAATTAAACTTCTTTCTTCATTTTGATGATCTTGTATTGAATTAATGTGAACATCTCTTTATAATGAATCTTTGAAGAATATATTCTTGATCTTCATCATAGTGAAGAACATATCATGTCACTATCTTTTCTATGATTTCTTATGAAAAAGATGAAGAATAATTTTATTTTAAAAAAAAAAACTACACTATTAGAAAGAAAGAATAGAAAGAAAGAATGAGAAAAAAAACTATACTAATCGAAAGAAAGAATGAGAAAAAAACTACACTAATAGAAAAAAAGAATGAGAAAATGAAAAATGAATATTCAGCATCTCCATGGATGATTGTAATTTATACATTTGATAATCCATAAGAATAAGTTGAAGAGACATGTTATTTAAGTAGAGACTATGAATTGATGGAGATTTTTTGTGACTCATTAGGTATAATTAGAATAGTAAATATTATTGGTTTTTTTTTATTTACTAAATAAAATATTTAATGAAAAGAATTAAGAAAAAAAAGGAGAAAAAAGATAAATATGAATGGAGGTCATAGAGAGGTATCACATCACCTTATCTATGTTCTCCTTTATATTATATATAGATTCCAATGTGGAATAGAGAAACTATCTATTTGAAATCAAACGCCGTCTGGAATTCTTAATGAACAATTCTTGAACGATAATTGTCTAATAACGATAATTGTGAGAATAACTATAACTTTATGAACCAATTTCCAAGCAGAAATGCTTGATGCTTCACCAAGTCTCTTCTAAAGGAATACATTTTATTCAATAAATTCATAAAGTATTATTTCATCCGCTTCACCAGATCTTACATATATAAAGGGAAAAATGTGTGCTGAAAGATATTGAAAGTCCATACAACACATATATCCCAATAAAATTGACACTACTAAAAGAACTTTAGGAGGAGATTTAATTTCCAACGTGATCGAACGTATCAGTTGATCATCAGGAATAATAGATTTTAAATCCCTCATGAAAGTTTCTCCCTCTACTGGTGTGCCATCCTGTGAACAATTTGTATGAAAAGTCAAGATCAAAATAATAGTCTTGAAACTAGAATATTCACAACAATATGTATATATATAGTAAATCCTTGATTAATAGCTAGTGTTAAAAAGGGAAACCCAAACTTACCCCATAGGAGATACACAAATTTCTCAACTCCAGCCTTTTTGATATTGTAAGAAAATTATGTAGCTTGAATAATAATCTACTCCATGTGCTATCAGTATGACCACCACAACTCAACCTTTTCAAAATTTCCCAATATAGCTCGACATAAAATGATATGTTTTTCACCATTTTCATCTATATCAGACATCATATCACTACACAAATTAAATAGAAAAAATAATTAATGAACATCATGTGGAATAATTAAGAAAACACCAAAAATGAAGCATGTGTACTATACCTTATTTGAGGTGATAAGAAAGGGGACAAGTATATACCAACACCATGAGGATAAGAAGCAGGTACATTACTATTCATTTCAAACCCACGACACGCAAGGCTGTCGAGATTTTTAGCTGATGTCCCGCACCAAGCAGAGTCATCAACTCTACGGTTCCCTCTTGCTCTCGTTACCTTCTCCAGATTCTCTTGATAAACTTCAAACCGCTCCTTTTCCATTGGACCTCTTCTCATGCATTGATGCATTGCAGTGATTATAACACGATCTCTCATAATAGACGGTAGTAAACCCTTTAGCTTCTGATAGACGTTCTCCTCTTCCCTCATTAACCTTGTCCCAGCCCACTTTGGTGTAGGCGTACCCACAACAATCCGCGATGAACTGCCCGATTCCTCATTTCCTTTTTCACTCTCCGATGAGAGATTTTGTGATTCCTCAACATCGTTGCCGCTTCCGCTAATCATCATCGGTGTTTGTAGCAATGAGATTTTCAAATTTGTTGTATAAAAATATGTTTTGAGAAGAAAAAAGTTGTCTCTATTTATACAAGTGTTGGTTGGCAAAGGAAATGAAAGTCTCCTTTTTCTATATTACAGTAATCCCTATTAATAAATTCAAGTCAATTTTTTTACTAGTTTATTAATATGCTATTTACACTTTTACCTATTTTGTCTTCTTTTTTCTCTTTTATAATAAGAAAACAATACTCTTTCGGCTAATGAATTTGAGAGTTAATACTTAGAGCCTGTTTGGATTGACTTAAAAGAATAAAAAGTCAAACTGAAATGACTTTTAAGTCAAAAAATAAAAAGTAGGGGGAAGACCTACTTTTGATTTTTCGCCAACTTTTTATTTTTGAGTTATTTTAAGTCATTTTTGACATTGCCAAACACTTCCTAACTTATTTTAAGTTATTTTTTATATTTGTTAAACATTTCTAGAAGTCAAAAACTGATTTAAAAGTAAATTTGACCAACTTTTTAGCCAATTCAAACACCCTCATACTTATTAAGAAAAAAAATTATGACATAAATTAAATAGCATTTTCCACTATGGAAATAATTTAAAGAAGAATCATAAATATGAGGAATTAACTCTCTTGAATTTATCATCTAAAAAATGTAAATGATGGGCAAAAATAGAAAAAAAATCAAACATTTATCTTAAACTTTGAACAATTCACTTATTATGGATTATGAAATTTTTTTCCAAACAATCGTTTTAATAATAATGTGGAATTTTTTTTGGAGTATAAATTTTTATTTTTACATCTTAAATTTCACAAATTATATTCAATTATGACTTTCGATTTTAGAAAACTTGTGCTTCCCTAAATATAAATTTGATTAATTTATAATCAATTTATATAAGAACATAAATTTAAAACTAATTCATTTAGATTTTTCAAGTGTTTTTCTTTTTTATTTACTTAATTTAAATTAAATATTATTTAATAGAGGTGAGTTGACAATTAAGTAATTGTATTTCATATTCTAATTCTAGTCGTATTTTTTGTATATAGAGATGATTTTAAATTTTTTAAAGTCTTTGAGGACAAGTTTCACTAAAGAAACTCAAAAAAATTGGTTCTTTTATTCCAAGTTCATAAAATTTATGATTAAATATAGAAAATGACAAAAATGATCATTAATTTAAAATTCAATGGCGTAAGAAATGTGAGCTTATCACATGTCTGTTGTAGCTTTCGACATTTGTAAAATCCAAAATAGAGGTCACAAGTAATAAATTTTAATAAATCGAAACAAAGTTCACATCTTTACTAGACCAATTTTTATTCTCTTTATTTTTTGTTAACACCTTTTTGTTTATTTATTTTTTCTTTATTAAAAATGTAAAAGAGAAGAAGAAGAAAAGAAATTTGAAAATAAATATTTTTGGACCAAAAAAAAGTAAGGACTTAATGGAAATAAATGCACATGAATAAATTCGTATAATCCAAAATAGAGATAAAAAAATAATAAAGTTTAATAAATTGAACCAAAGTTCACTTCTTTTGCTAGATCATTTTTTTTCTCTTCATTCTTTGTTATTAAAACCTTGTTATTTAATTTTTTTTCTTTATTAAAAATGTAAAAGAGAAGAAGAAGAAGAAAAGAAATAGTTTGAAAATAAATATTTTTTGACCAAAAAAAAGTAAGTACTTAATGGAAATAAATGCACACAAATAAATTGGTAAAATCCCTAAAAAGTACTACTTACAACAAAAGCGAAACCTTCTGATATAACACCACTCTCCCTGAGCTCCGCCGGATACTTAGGTTTATCTTCACCGTTACGGCGTTGCTAGCAGAACCCTACTCCACCGTTGAAGCGGTCCGATCATATCTCCGACGAAGCCTGGTAAAAATGCTGAATCACTTAATTCTCCTTTACTCTTCCGTTTTTCTCTTGCAGTTTTTCTCGATTTCATACTTTTAGTTTCACTGAGTGGTCGAGCTAAATGTCGCTAAATTGGGGCTGCTAAAATTAAAGTTATAAATCAAAGACTTGTATTAAATCTTCTAATTTGTGCAGATTGTAACTAGCAAATGTATAGGTATAGAATTGGTACTGCTAAAATTAAAGTTAGAAATCAAAGGCTTGTATTAAAGCTTCAAATTTGTGCAGATTGTAACTAGCAAATGTATAGGTATAGAATTGGTACTGCTAAAATTAAAGTTATAAATCAAAGACTTCTATTAGAACTTCAAATTTGTGCAGATTGTAACTAGCAAATGTATAGGTATAGAATTGGTACTGCTAAAATTAAAGTTATAAATCAAAGACTTCTATTAGAACTTCAAATTTGTGCAGATTGTAACTAGCAAATGTATAGGTATAGAATTGGTACTGCTAAAATTAAAGTTATAAATCAAAGACTTCTATTAGAACTTCAAATTTGTGCAGATTGTAACTAGCAAATGTATAGGTATAGAATTGGTACTGCTAAAATTAAAGTTATAAATCAAAGACTTCTATTAGAACTTCAAATTTGTGCAGATTGTAACTAGCAAATGTATAGTATGGAATTCCATGGAACTGAATAGGATAGATGTTTATATCATAGACCGTTGATTAATTTTTTGTTAGTTCGGCATTTTAAGCTTCAGCTGAAACTTGATTTCTCGGGTTTGGGCTTTTGCAAGCCTAGTGCATAGCTTTATATTACATAAAGAGTACATATGAAGTGGACTCGAAGGGTTTAGGTGAGAAGGTATTAAAACTTTACCACAAAATAGAGGTGGAGAGTAGTTTGAATGCCAAATGCTTAGACTGAACTATGCGCTGTTGCTCATCCCTAGGGTTCGTACTTGACACATTCATTTTCCCTGATTCAGATATCACTCTCTGATAAACGTGTCTTACTGATCATATGTAAAAGAATAGCGCGTACAATTTTCAGAAGTCACTACCAATGTGGCTCTATGGAGTTTGATTGATAATATTTGCATTCATGGGTTCAGGCCTTACCAAATTGATTCTTCTAGTTGACCATGTTGCAAATTATCTTACCTTTCCCCAAAAAAAAAAAAAACTCCACACTTTTCTCATACATCCACTTTAGTCTTATCATTCCATACCTTTCTCATACATCCTCTATAGTCTTATATCCTGAAATGAGCATCTGTTACAAAAAAATTTGCAGATATGTCAATGAAGTTGACACCTTCCAAGAGACCACATGATCAGAGCCTTGCAGAAACAAATGGCCGAGGGAAGTGGCAGAAATCATCATCTTTTAGTTCCCAGAGATCACCTGCGAAAATTCGTATATTATGCCCTGCTTCAAAAATAGATTTCCTTATCGGAGAGGATAGTAGCATTATTTCTCGGATACAAGAGGAAACTGGTGCAGAGGTTCGAGTTGAGGATAGTATTGTTGGTTGTGATGAGAGGGTGATAGTTATTATAGGTTCAGGAAAAGAAGATGAAGTGGGAACCAAACAGTTCCAGGCTGATGTTGAGGGGAGTGAAACTAATGAAAAAGACAGTTGCAATGATGAAAATGGTGATAAGGGTGAGAATAAGGCGTCTCTTCCGGCAGAAAATTCCAAAACTGAAAAGGAAACTGAATCTATTCAGAAAGCTCTATTCTTGTTGTTTGAAAGGATGGTTGAAGGAGGAGCAGAAATGGATGGAGGAGATGAAGAGGGCAATAATTCTTCCTCATTAATTATAAGATTGCTTGTTCTCTCCAGCCAAGTGGGCTGTTTGCTAGGAAAAGGTGGTAGTGTCATAAAGCAGATGTCTTCTGAAAGTGGTTCACAGATACGAATTCTTCCCAGGGACAAACTACCTTCATGTGCGTCTTCATCAGATGAATTGGTTCAGGTATATTTGTTGATATTTATTCATTCATTCCTTGCAAGTATTAGTCAACTTGATTCACTCAGCTTAGCCATTAACCGTCATCAATGTGATCATTTTTCTGTCGGAGTTGTATTTGAATCCTGCCTGTTTTCTTGTGTGTGCTTGTCATGATTTTTGAGAGGTCTTATTGATATAACAGTAATTTCTGCGTTAGGAAGTCCTTTAATTAACTTTAGTGACAGAAAAAGGCCCTTGTATCTATACAATTCAATTTGAGAATGTTGCACACTCTTCTTACTTGTTGGTTCACAGTGAATACTGCTTCATCGACATCTTATTTCCTGTCTCACGTTTCACAGAGTTGATCATTGTGTATTGTCTGCTGCTTTTATGCAGTACTCTCGTAGTCAAATCTTGTCATATTAACCAGAATTCTGGAGACATTCCTAATTGTTATGTTGCAGATTTCTGGGGAGCATGATGCAGTTAAAAAAGCTCTTGAAATTGTTGCTCGACAATTACTTGGGAGTTCCTCTGGGGATCAAGATTTTCTCTCTGCTGATGCTGGTGGTCCATCTTCTCAGTCTCCTAGACGTCCTCTATCTAACCGGGAAATACGTCCACCATCAACACGTCCTTACCATGGGCAGGGGCCTGCTTCCTCTGGTGGATTTCGTGTTGGGGAAGCTGGTATACCTGGTCGAATGAATCCTATTCCTGATGCCTTGACTTTCAGATTACTTTGTCCAGATGAAAAGGTTGGAGGTATAATTGGAAAGGGAGGAAGTATAATTAAAGCACTTCAGCATGAGACTGGGTGTCAAATCAAAGTTCTGGAAGCCACAGGGGATTCTGAAGATCGAATTATTGTCATCTCTGGTCCAGCGGTATGATTTGTTATGTCTCTCTATTTGCTTTCTTTTTCCAGGATTTCCTTTAATTGGCATTGGAGGGGGGAGGGTCATTCTTTTTGCTAAAGTTGTTACTCTTTCTTCTTTCCTCTTCTTTATCATGCTTCTTTGATTTTCTATAACCTAACAATAAGAGGCTATGACCATTCTATCTATGCAGTTCCCAGATGATAGAATATCTTTGCCGCAAGATGCTGTCCTTCGCATCCAATCCCGAATTTTTAGGGCTGCACCTGAGAATCAGG